TGGCTAGCTATAAAACCAGGTTTAATTCACCATTTCTACATAAGGAAATGCCTGTACTAAGTCAGGAATATGACAGTTGTTTTCCATCCGTTTGATGTGTTGGAGCTTTTGATTTTGACATTTGATATGGGACTTTCCGTTTTAAATTTACCTTGGAGTTCGGTATTTTTGTTATTTAACTTTTAAACTGTTAAGCCAATGTCATAGGTAAGAAAAAAAACTGATCACCCACAAATATGTTTAACCGCGCCCTATTCTTTATGTGCCTGTCCTTAGTTAGGTGTCATTGGTCGTCGTTGGTTGCTTTATGTTATAGTTGCTTTTCGTTCATTGTTTTTGTCAAAATTAGACTTGGTTTTTCTCGTTCGAATTGTTTCACATTTTGCCATCTCAGCGTCTTTTATAGCTGACTATATAGTATGGGGTTATAGCGACCTATACTTGCTTAAAACAGTCCCATTTGAAAGTTGTAGTTTTGGCAATACTACCACAATTCCTTATTTCATACAAAATTTAATCGAGAAATCATTTTGTGTTTGAACAAGCTGAAAACTCAATTTAGCATATTGTTATTATTTACGTAAGTACGTTATCGACATGCTTAAAAAGAGACAACAGATATCAAGGGGAACATAAAGATTAGGAAGAAAAAAACATACTACACCATGCAAAGAACGAAAAAAGATGACAAGACAAGCAGTCTACAAAACACTACACGGAACATTTAACACTGTTAATACGGACACCGACAATAATCGGTTATCTAAGGTGGTACAGAAGGTTAAGCAGATCCTGCTCCACTTGAGGCAACGCACGTGTTGTTCATAACAAGTAAACATGCGGTATTATTCAATAGTGACACATATATTCCATAAGGTCTTCCAAACCATGATAGTGTCCGTCAAACTTTCGAAAGAATGACGCGTATTTATAAATTGAAACCCTATTAAAAGACTCTTTTGGTAATTCAATATTTTTACGTGTACCACAGACGGAAAGATTAAAGATCAACTGATGTGAATGTTTCCTTTATTAGGAGAACTGGAGTTAAAACAGATTAAAAACTGTTGGAAAGCGAATGGTATTTGTAAGCCTCATATCTCATCTACTTTAACAGTTGATTTTTAAAATAAAATAAAATTAGAAATCGCAAAAGTACTATTTCAGAACTATCAAATATAAATTCAAACAGTTTTCGATTTAAGGCATTTTTCGCTATACATGTATATAACATATAAAAAAACGTATTGAAATTAGAAAAAAATATTGTATATAAATGAACCGCAGTACAAAGAGATCTAGAGATAGACAAAATAAATTGCGTTATTTTCAGAAATTTCTTTTTTAATTGTTTTTTTTTATTCAGTGCATATATCAATAAGTTCAATCACGTGTGGCCTCGGTTAATTAAACTTAATAAAAATAACATTGATTTAATCTTATGGTATTCTGTGAAAAAATGATAACAAGTTTACCGACCACTCAGGTTAATTCAAAAAGGAGGAAGTAAATACATACTGACGAAATCGAACGTTAGACTTTATCAACCGAGGGACCAAATGGAAAACAACTGTCATATTCCTTACTTAGTACAGGCATTTTCCGAAAGTTGGATTAAACCAGGTTTATAGCTAGCAAAACATCCCACTTGTATGAAAGTTGTTTATGTTTTTTTTATATATTGACAACATTGGGTGAGCAACCCAAACAGATATAATAGGTTAATCATATTTATGTGACAAATGGGATCCAGCAGCCAAAACTGTGTAAACTTACATCACCGACATACAACACAACTGACTAAAGAAATCAAACAAACTATACATTGAAGTCTTTCACTCTTCTTACATACCCATAACATGCGATAAAGTATTACATGCTAACATATGACACTGAATATCCCCATTTCTCAAAAGTTTAGACTGTGTGTATACCAGCAAAAAGATTAGGATAAACTGATTTATTCACAAATATTTTAAAAATGCATCAATTATGTCATATCGCTTATTATATTAAGTCTATGGTGTATTCTTATCACTCCTAGTCTGTTTTTTTTCAAATGAAACCTTTTATCGTAAATGACTGGAATTCTATGCGACTGTCATACAAGTGAGAGGTTTAGCTAGCTATAAAACCATGTTAAATCTACCATTATCTACATAAGAAAATGCCTGTATCTAGTCAGGAATATGACAGTTGTTTTCCATCCGTTTGATGTGTTTGAGTTTTTGATTTTGCTTTTTAATAAAGGACTTTCCGTTTTGAATTTTACCTGGAGTTTGGTATTTTTGTTATTTTTTTTTTTTTTTATCTATTTCCCAATTTAGCCACATATTAGGGTCAATTGTTTTCAAATACTGTTTGGAATTTTGTTTTTGGTAATTTCCTATTTCCTTCTGGAAAAGCAAATTTCAAAGATTAATTGATACCTGCAAAGCCCTGAATTCACAATATTTGTGTTTTTACGAATTTGTGATTCCCACTGTATAGAACAAAGCCTTATAGTCTATTTTTTTTATTCTTCTTTATTTCAGTCAATGTATTGGCATAAAAAGTTATGTAGCTCCGTAAAATGAGTAGAATTTGTTTGATTTTCCGTTGTTTTACTGTTATCTGATGCAAATGTAGTTTACAAAACAATTTGACCACCAAACAAACTGTTCTTAATGGGAGAAGACTGAAATTGAATCCCAATTAAATTTTAGGCCAGATATTGTTAGATAAAATCCGTGGTGTACGGGAGGTAACTATTGATATTTATCTCATTGGAAAAAAATCAGTTTGAAAGAATGAAGCCATCGGAAAGTAACGAATAAATGAAAAATAATAAGAAAATCTCCATGTAATTACACCATTTTCCCTAAATATTTAAACTATGTTTAAGCAGATAACAGTGTGTGTAGAAAAATCTACATTTTTATGTCTTAAGTAAATGAATGTCAACTTGAAAGATGAATTTTAAATGCAAAGCTTAAAACGGTAATATGTATCAATACAGTATCATTTATTTTTAACGTTGCCCATTTTTACAATTAGTCCTTGTCACAACTAAATTTCTGTTCTCAAAGGCATTCAATTTGATAAATCAATTAATGCTGAGAATTCATGACAAATCGGATTTTGTCCGTTAATGATATCAACAAATTCTTAAATATGATTATTTCCACTTTGCCATCAAGCGATAACTATAACGGCCATAGAACTTGTAAAATACGCATCGGTTTACGTATGGTTGGATCGACTTAACATGATAAACGACAATATAAGTGATAAACTAATGTAAACGGTATTTGCCTTTGGTCTCAGAAATTGGATCGATCCAAACATTTATACATATACTGGTGTCAAGGCTTTGAAGTAGACTTACGTGATGTAAACAGTCTTTACCCGAATTCAAACATGTTGGACCGACCAAAACATGCGTATACCGGTTTGGATTTCTTACACTAATTCTAGTTTCTAAGCCTAGTCGAACTGAAATGGAACATTTCCGTAATGATAATTTTGTGTAATTGGAATGATTTATCACATTACCATGATAAATTGTACACATGTTTTAAATGGCATGACTTGGGTGGAATATTATAGAATATCGGTCATAATGCGATTTACTTAAAATACTTGTATCGATTTTGTAATATTATCTTTCAAAGGTTGAAGATCATGCCACCTGTGTTTTTTATGTTTAATAAAACTGGTGTTAATCAGTTAATAGCTAACCTTTTTTTCCATAAATGCAACGTTTTAATGTAAATAACAAAAACATATAAAAATAGCGTAGTCCTTTTATTTCTACAAAGAAAGAACGTTAGCTTTTATTATTAGAAGAAAAATGTCGGATAAGGAAGTTAAAATTGAATAACATACAGAAAACTGAAGGTATACAGGTAGAACATTTTTTGTACTTCTTTTATGCAAGAACAATGATTTTCATGGGTAAAACACAAATATAGAAAAATAAAATATTGAGATATATATCTCCCTCCTTTTCGAGTCCCTCGTTTTTTATGTATATTGATCTCCTTTTAATCGATTTACTAGACTTGAACATCGTTGAACTACTGACGCTTTAAATTGTTCAAAAAGAGAAGATAAGCATTCAGAAAAATAAGAAAAAAGTAAAATATCAAAACTACTGAACTCCAAGGAAAATTCAAAACGGAAAGTCCTTAATTTATAAGATGACAAAACCAAAAGTTCAAACACATCAAACGAACGGAAGAAAACTGTCATATTCCTGACTTGTTACAGGAATTTCGATATGTAGAAAACGGTGGATTAAACCTGGTTTTATAGCTAACTAAACCTCTAACTTGTATGACAGTCGCAAAGAGTTCCATAACTTTGACAACAATCTTTGAGAAAATTGTTATTATGAACATAGCGTGAAATGAATGAATTTATTGTCCTATGATGCAATGATAGTTAGATTTAGGAAGAATGAGTGGCTTTAAGATTGGAAATATCTAGAAGGAAGCAAACAACCATACATGAAAATTTTGAAGTTGAAAAAGACAAGCCCTATGGTTATGCTAAAGACAAAAGAAAATAATAATGGTATACAAATGTATGTAGGTATCCATAGCATACTGTAGTTACCAGCAAAGATGACGTAAAATATAAAATGTTTACCAATATTGCCATCTGCACTTCTGTGGTCCCCTAAAAGTACTCAATCTGATGGGAGATTCGTCTGTTGTCTCTTGGCTGCTGTTTCTTACACTAAATTCCTATCAATTTGAGGACAGAAATTCAATACAATTGCATTTTTAGCCCGGGAGAACCCGTCCATTTGCACGTTAAACTTCTTGTGGTAAGGCAAACTGTTAATCTTTATCTTAAATACCCCAGTCCGTCCTATGGGTTAGAAATTTCCACCAGTTTCCCGACTGAGGTGTGCAACCACCTTAACCCTCTAATCATTATTGGGCATCGAATTTTGCATATAATGGCATAACTAAATGTAATTTTTATTGAATAATTTTATTTTCTCAGGTGCAAAGACATCAGAGAATCAAACACTTTTAAATTGATGGAGGCTGGTTCGGAAACATCACCTGCATACTATCTGACAAAAAACAAAGTAAAGACACCAGGCTTATAGTTTTATATGTAAAACCTGGTTAATAATTAAATATGACACTTCATAAAATTCTTGCGTCTGAAGCGCTTTAAAATTTCTAGATTTATCTTAACTTACATTGATTAAAATATAATTAAATTCCTCTCCACACGTCATGTAAGATGTATGTGCCAATGCTCTACGTTGCTCTAGATTAAGTTTTGTTTAATCTTTTTACATATGGTGCTCATACATAGAAATCCATGTTCAGAATAATCAAATTATATATTTGTTCATGTCTAGATTTGCTTTCATTTAGTTATTACTTTGTACCACAAGTAAACGTGATTCAAAAGTGTTTTAAAACATTATTAATGCATATTTTGATATTATATTTGCATGAATAGTGAAACTGTGCATTTCTTTTACGTGTTTAACACGCAGATTTAGTCCAAGGCATACACATATTTCTTGAATTGTTAATGTATTGTGAAAATAAACATTAATATAATATTATCCATTACAAAATGTGTATGCTTCAGGTCTTAAATTGTGTTCTAACGCGATTAATGAAATCCACAATTCATTTTTCAATTTAAAGGGAATTTGGTACTTAACTTTTCACGTGTCTGAGAGGTCGTTTTTTGTTTAATCCAATTCTAAAACATGGCATGATAAGCGTTGCATACAATTTGCGACACATCTGTCTGAAAAATCTATTTGACGTTCATATTTATTTCTTACTTATAACAGCATCAGCATCCAAGTTTACACAACTGCAAGATGAAGTCAATCCAGATGATATACGCAGTCTTAGTGATCGCCGTCTTGTGTAATACGGGTAAGGTATATAACTTACACATATCCTATATTTATTAAATATTCACTTGCTTCAGTTGTTTTTGATTGAATAGGAAGTTATATATATCCAATAATAGTCGGTAAGTAGAACCTTGTATAGAGTCCTGAATTAAAATTCCCACAATTATTAAACACATATAAAAATTCAGTTTGTGATTTTTTTTCTTGCAACAATTCAATAATTTTCATGCTTTCATTTTCTATTCAGTAATTGTTTTTATTCTAATTTTGAGACTGAGTATAAAGTTAAAAAAATTAGAAATGAATCATACAGGGTAAACATTTTGGGCATAAAAAATCCAGATTTCTAATGTTTGATATGAAAGTAATAAAGAAAGGTTTCAAATCTAAAGCAAAAGTCTTGAATAGGAACTCTGTGATAGAATACTCGCCATATGCATTTCAAACTTCCCTATCTCCGTCTAGAGACCCTTCCTCTCTCTCTCTTTCTATATATCTCAATCGATTGATTGATTTATAGATCATCTGAATCTTTTTGAACATGCAGGTGAGTAACGCACACGTTTGATAGCACTTATAATTGTTTCTTATCTAAATACACTTAGCTGAACATTAACTGTGGTTGATAGTTGTCTCATTGGCAATCATACCACATCTCCTTATTTTTATATATATAGAAAAGTATTGTCTCGAAATATGAAATGTATTTGTACGAAACTAAGAAATAGGTAGAATGTCTAACTTATCTTGGGTCGTATTTGTTTACACCATCCTTGTCATTTGATCTTTCGTGGAAAGCGGTCTTATTGCACCATTTAGTTACACCAGAACCATTGACCTAAAATAGTTAACTATAAACAAGCTTTTAAAGATCTGGATTTAGAAGAATACTTCAAAAACCCTCAGACATGTGACTGTCCCGACTCTTCATATATTTACAAGCCCTCGGGTAATGTATTTACTGGTGATCTAACCATAATTAAACTTGAATATCTTCGAAAGGTGAATTCTCATGGTCCCAAATTAGGAGAGCCACAACACAGCAATTGAAACCATAACTTTATAAAACAACTATGATTTCCGTTGAAGATAACGCCAGAGCATGGTTAAAACGAAAAGAGTGTTAAGTAGAGACTTTGTCAGTTTGGGTTAAAGCGATTAGGTCGTTGATACAGCGTAGTATCAACAATTTGAAAAGCTATGTTAATGGTTAACCTCAGTCCATATTCAGAGACAAATAAGCTGTAAAATGTCTAAAGTCTCTTCAAATATGTTGTTGTTCTTGTGGGCAAAGCTTTAAACAATATAGTGTTTGTCTGTATATCCTTATGCTACGAGTATCGTATCAACTAATATAAATGAACACATAGGTAATTCCACGTACAAAGAAGTTACTTTCGATAAGGTTGAGATATTGGCAGGCCAAAGTCCTTCATGAACTCATTGAATATCTTAATGAGCAACAAATATGAGGAATTTCCTTGGTTGTGTTGGATATATAACATTCACAAAGCTCTGTTCAAACAACAGTACATTTTCAGCTCATCTGCATGTTCTACCAATGAATTGTCCGTTATTTTGTTCGCAGTGAAAAAAATACTGTGACACTGTTTAAAAGCGTTTTTAGCATTAACCATGGGTGGATTCTTAAAAACTCGAATGAACTTCTGACAAAATTAACATCTCGGCCATTCTTTGGAAAAATTCTGTCAAAACCTTCAACTTACCACACGTTACACCACCATACCACACGAAGATTTGAAAACCCGTCATACAGAAATAGCACATAATGCATTCCTCCATACAAATGGTACCCTACACAATAATTTTATCGTTTTGCATATTTTCTGAAAAATTAGTCAAAAATAAAACATGCTACACCGAAAAAAAACAAACCCACGCGATCAGTATGCTAGAGTGTCTCATGGATAACATGTTTGTCGAACATGGAGGTAGAATCTTCCAGCAGGTTGTTGGCATTATTATGCAAACAAACGTTGACCTCTCCTGATCGACCTTTTTCTTATTTTCATATGAGTCGGAAAAATAACAAACGAAGATCAAAGAATCAAGATAATTTAATTTCACATACAAATATACTGATGATGTTCTTTCCATTACCAATCCATACTCTTGTGATTTGGTCCAATTAATCTATTATGAACTAGAGATTAAAGAAACCAAAGATACAGCTTTCTCTGCGGTCATCTTAGTAGCAGAATCAATGACAAATGAGACAATCTTAAATTTGAAATTATAAATTTTCCTCACCTTAGCAGCAATTTACAAACTTCAATTGAGTAACGAATATATATTTTTCAAATCTTACGATATTCAAGACATTGCAGCTGCTACTCAGACTTCGTACAACGTCATCATTGTCTGCGCAAAAGATCGAGGGATGTGTCAAAGAGCGTCTCATCCCCTTTCTCAAAAAGTTCATCGGAAAGTACCAAGACCTAATAAATAAACATTCAGTGTTTACTTCACAAAGAATGCAAAATGGTCTCGAGCTTTAGATTCTAAGTACTGAAGTCGTGTATCTTTTTATTAACCTTCTATTTTCCCTTTGATTATTCCTGTGCTTTTAAGACATTAACCGTATGACTCTTGACGTGATTCGGTATTTATGCAGCCAGCAATCGGGTGCAGGTGTGACTAGAGATGCAAAGCGGACGCAAGAAGTGTTTACAGTGTTGTTTTCATTTTGTTTGACCGTTATCTGTATATCTTACTTAATTTATAGTTTATCGAGAAAGTATATACCATATACTAAAATTGAGAATGGAAACGGAGAATGTGTCAAAGAGACAACAACACGACCAAAGAGCACCAAGGCCCAAGGCCACCAATGGGTCTTCAACACAGCGATAAAATCCTGCACTCGGAGGCAGGGTTCAGCTTGTACTTAAATAAAAATGTGTACTAGTTCAGAGAAAATGGACGTCACACTAAACTCCAAAACAAATAGATGAACCAAAATTAAAAAAAAAAAAACAAAAACATGTAAGACTAACAAAGACAAGAGGTTCCTGACTTGGAACAGGCGCAAAAATGCGGCTGGGTTACACATGTTTTATGAGATCACAACCCTGCTCCTATACCTCTAGCTAATGTATAACAAACAAACACATAGCAATACGCACAGTAAAACTCAGTTTAAAGGAAGTCTGAGTCCGATGTTAGAATAGGTAACAGGAAAAATAAGCAAAATAACAATGATAAATTAACAAGATATAGATATCAAGATCGAGGAAAGGGCAGTGTTCATTGTTAGTATTAGCTTTATTTAAAACAGAGGGACGGCAGATACCAGAGGGACAGTCAAACTCACAGATCGAAAACAAACTGACAACGCCATGGCCAAAAATAAAAAGACAAACAGACAAATAATAGTACAGATGACACAACATAGAAAACTAAAGACTAAGCAACACGAACCAAACCGAAAACTGGGATGATCTCAGGTGCTCCGGAAGGGTAAGCAGATCCCGCTCCACATGTGGCACCCATCGTGTTGCCTATGTTATTACAAATCCGGTAAATAGTCTAATTCGGTAGGTCACATTCGTGAAAAGGGAAGGGTATTGTAGTTACGACATAAGGAACATATCCGATATCATCTGTGAAACGGTTATTCCATTACGGTCAACCAACTCGTGATGGCGTCCGTAAATTTTACAAAGGGATGATTTCAACTTCACCATGTGGAACTCTTGGTTTAATAGCTTCCTTGTGAGCAGCAATCCTCTATCAAGGAAATCATGATAGGAAATACAAGCCCGGGAATATCGTATCATTTGGGAGATATATTCTCCGTTAAAGTCAGTTCAGCAGGATAAATCTCTTTAGTGTACTTACTGAAGTCGTCATTATTGAGAGCCAATATATCATCCAAATATCTAAAAGTGTTATTAAATTTTTGTATCAGATGTTGTTTCGATGGGTCTATGTTGATTTAATTCATAAATTGTAACAATACAGAAACAGATCCGCAATAAGTGGTGCACAGTTAGTACTATCAACTGCAGAAACTTTTTTATTAGCGTCTTTGTCAAATACTATCAATTACAAGAACTTTTTATGGGCGTCTTTGTTAGATATTTTGTATGTTTGTTTGAATTCTTTAGCCAGTTGTGTTGTATATCTGTTTATATGTTTACACAGGTTTGGCTACTGTATCCCAATTATTGTCACATTAACCTACTATGTCTGTTTTGGTTGCGCACCCAACTTTTCAATATAACGGAACTATAAACAACTGCTTACATCCACTTTTTTTTAATCTTTGGTGGATAGTTGTCTCATTGGCAATATATCTCATCTCCTTATTTTATATTTTCATACAAGTGGGATGTTCAGAAAGCTATCAAATCAGGTTAAACCCACCATTTTTATCGATAATTTTTATACCAAGTCAGGAATATGACAATTGTTTTCAATTCGTTCCGTTGGTTGATAAAGTCTCACGTTCGATTTTGTCAGTTTTTATGGATTTTATCTTTTTGAATTAACCTTGGGGTTCGGTATTTTTGTTAATATATATTTAACATAACGATAAACAACGGTTTAATTCCTGTTTGATAGACGTCTCAATGGCAATCATACCTCATTTACTCATTTTTCAATTGGAAAAAATAGCTTTTTGCTCAATGTGCAAAATTAAGATCACAAGTACTTATGTTTAGACATTATATTTCGAGGTTCAAATTAAGGACCAAATATATACCTAACCCTTTGCTTCTCGCAATCACTAAAGTGTTTACACAACATATATTAGTTAAGCATATTCTAAGGTGTGAACTGAACGAAGTAATATGTCTTTCTTTCTTTCGTAAGTTTCTTGTTCTTTCTTTCTTTTCTTTCTTTCTTTAGTAAATGTGCAGTCAAAAACATTTGTCTTACCTGCTGACGCTTCTCATTTCTTCTATTTTTTAAGTGCGGATTGCAGTGCACAATTTTCAGCTTACTGAGATTTTAAATAGACTGTTTCTGTTGTTCGATCTGTTTTTATCTTAGATACAGTGCTGTTGTTCTTTTGTCTATTTGGAATTTGTATTCAAGCTTAATTGCTTCTCTTTTTGCTAGACAAACATAATGTTTTTTTATTTATCCGATCTGTAAAGGTCATTCTTGGGATGCCGAGCTGAAATGTTATGCAGATGGAGGATATTGCGATAGTTACCCATGTCGGGAAGGTTACACTTGTAACAAAAAGTTTTTGTATGGCTGCTCACAAAACGAAAACTGCTGTCTTCCTGCTCCTGGTAAGCATTGATATTAGATATTTTCAAATTGTTCATTTAGAGTACTTATTACACAACTGATAGCTATTTAAAAATTAATGTGTGATTGGTAGTAAAAAGCAATTTCATTGTAGCTGCCTTGTCATAAATATCTGTCTTGCTTCTTATATAAGCATTAAATCAAACAATAAGATAATTTATATGAAAATTATATAAATCTCAGTGATCCTAAAGAGGTTTCAGAAATTTTCAACATTTTTTTTTCATAAATGTAGCTAAAGATATAGGAGACATAATATTATAACAGACAGAAATCATCCAAGTATAATGAAAATTTGAAAAAAATTAACTAACTGTAGTGAATTGATTGTTAAGCCTGTAACATGAGAGTTTGTGGGTAAATGAATACATAGATTGAATATAAAAAGAGTTACAGGATATGACACTATATCATTGAAAAATATGAAAATGGCACAACCAGTAATATTATATCCTATAAGAATTCTTAGTTTGTAAATCAATTGAAAGTTCAATTTATCCAGATAATCTAATAACTGATTAGGTGTCCCCAGTGTTCAAAAAAGAATTACTCTGTAGATAAAGGAAATCATAGGCCCATATGCGTGTTTCTTTGTATTTCAAAAATGTTTGAAAGAGCATAATATCATCAATTGATGGTATTTTTAAATAAGTATTTTAATTCGGCATTAAGGTCTGGTTTTAGTTGCCAAACAACACGTTTAATATAATTGAAGGTTGGAAGAAAGATCTGGACGAAGGCAAATTTTGATGGATATATCTAGGCATTTGATTGTTTACTGTACGATTTACTTTTACTAAAATGGGAAACATATAGTCTGTCAAATAATTCTTTAAATTTATTACCAAGTTATTTAGAAACCGAAATTTTGGAAATTTTTACAGTGAAAGAAACCAAATACTTAAAAGTCTATCACAGGGGTCATTTCTTGGTCCAGTTCTTATCAATGTCTTCATAAATGACACATTTCGTTTTGTACAAAAAAGCATCATTATAATGTGCTGATGATAATAATGTATTCTATAGTGATTATGATGTAGATAAGGTTGTTGATATTTTTGAAACTGATAGTTTAAATCTAATAAACTGGTTTTCAATAAATTTAAGGAAAACTAATCCTGCCAAATTTCAGGCTATAGCCATTGGAAAAAAAATATTTAACTCAAACGGAAACAAAATTTCTTACGAAAACAATGTTAAACTTAATGGAGTAACTTGAGAGTCGGACTCAAACTTTAACAGTTATGAATCTGAATTATTTAAAAAAGCACCAAGACAATTAAATATTCCAAAAAGAATGTAGAATATTTAAGCAGGCTAGGAAGATAAACAGCATACTATTCATTCCTTCTATAAATTTTTAACTAACGTCCAGTAATTTGACACTATTATAGCGAACATAAATCTTAGAAATGAATAAAATTCAAGAAAAATATATTAGATTCATCTATAAAGAATATCATAGTTAATACGAAAAACTGCTATAAAAATCATAATAGCTTTCATTAAAAATAAGGAGAATAAAAACTAATCAAACAGAATCATTTGAAATATTTAATAAAAAATGTCCAAGTTATCTACATGATTTAATTGATATAAAATTCAGAACTATAATTTTAGTTCAAAAGAAACAGCAATACCATCAGAAGCCAGTAATACCAGGTATGGTTTGAAATCGTTTCGCTATAATGCTGCACAAATCGGGACTGAGCTGCCTGACCATTGTCGCATGGAGACATTTTTGGACCAATAAATAAAACTGGTACAAACATGTGATCCAAATTACAGCTCATACAAGTACATTGCATGCATATATATTCAAAGGCTTATGCTTTTTATTTTTTATTTTGTTAGACTGCTTGATTTGTATTGCTTTTTTGTTACTATAATAAACTGTACTTGATATTCTAACTTATGTACTTTATTTTACATAAAGAAAGAAGAAGATATGTTATGATTTCCAATGAGACAACCCCCCACCAGACACTAGATGACATAGAAGTTTACAACTATAGGTCACCGTACGTCCATTAACAATGAGTAAAACCCATACCACATTGTCATCTATAAAAAGGTCCCAAAATGACAAATGTAAAACAATTCAAACAAGACGAAACACTAAGTACAGATCTAAGAGTACTTGCAGTTACTGACACTTATTCCAAAACAAAAAACAACTAATAAAATAAATCATGCATCTAAGACTAAATTATCAATCAGTACACAGTCCATATCTAATGGATTTGGTGGAAAAACGTCATTCATAGAAAAACATGACATTGTGCTATGTCAATAAACAGGAATCGACATATTGTAGATCCAAGAATATGCATATTTTAATGATAACAAAAAATACTTATACAAATAAAAACAATATTCGAAGATCTAATTACAGTGTTTAATTGGTAACCTTTTAAAATGAGTTTATTTAAGATATCGATAAATTAACACGGATGGTATCTTAATGTCCGAGCTCGGTAAACAACATCTCTATAAGAATTAGGATGTGCCATCCCATTTGAAATACGTTTTCTACAGGTAAAGCCGAATTTCCAAACCAAATCTTTGTATCTATGGAACAATTTAGTAAAGGGTTAAAGATATTTGTCGTAACGAAATCTCTAACTTGACAATTTACCGGAAATACATAGGCTATGTTCCAGGCATGGGGCGAATTACATTGCAATGTAATGCATTATATTACAATTACTTTGACAAAACCATGCATTAAATTACAATTACAATTACATGCATTTATAAAAGTAATGCATTATATTACAATTACTTTTGCAAAGTAATGCATTGAATTACACATTACATTTGTAAATTTTATTATCAAGTGAAAAGAAAAAGCAAACATTTTGAAAAACAACATGAAGTCACAAAAGATTCTAGCATATGCAGTAACTGTTTCATGTATTGAATTTAAGTATACATGTAAAAAGTCTATTCAATACGACTATTATATTTTAACATCATAAGGGTTTCGAAGGTTTCATGATGAATAATATTTCTGACTACCCGACTGTTTCACAAAAACTATCAAAGTAGATCGCTCTTCTATCATTGGTTTTAATGTTTAAAGGTATACATATCTGTGTTTTCTCAAAAAAGAAATTACAGAGATGAAATTTAATAATTCTTTTAACTTAATGTAAATTTAACTTTACTTTTATAAATATGCATTTTTTTTATTTCAATCAAAATATTTACTGAGAATTTCTTTCCTGATTATATAATAAACATAGAGCTTAATTTAATACCAAGTGTCATAATGGTGAAAAGATTGATTGTTAAACAAACAAATTAGTGTTTTATGACAATGTTCAATTATCTGATATTTAATCATGTGATCTTTTGACAACAATGGAACACTTTTACAGTAATGCTTTTCAAATATCAATCTTTTTATGTAGGAAAATGTATAAAATAAAATGTAATAATTAAAAAAAAACTCTATCTGATACACAGTGTTGTGTTATTCATTTAGAATTGTAATTTGGTCATTCTGGTATTTATATCACTTTATTTTTTTCTTTTCAAGTTCTACCTGGGGCAAGGCTTAATCTCCGAATTCCCTCTAGTGATTTATGTAAAGTGTGAAAAATAAATAAAATAGAAAATCAATATTCAAATGATTGTGTTCTTAGTTAATCAAAAAATCTTAAATTCTGCTTTCGTTTAATCTCCAACAATCTGTTAAAGATATATAGTATGTGAAAAAAGTAATGCTATGTAATGCATGAAATTACACAACTTTCTGATAAAGCAATGCATTAAATTACAATTACATGTAATGCAAAAATTGCTGCATTACACATAACATGCAATTACTTGGAAAAATGTAATGCATTACCATGCATTACAATTACAAATTTGCATTACCCCATGCCTGTTATGTTCATTGACACAGCAGATTCGGGCATAGCGAACGAGTTGCGATATATAAAAACCGTACGACGGTGTCAAAGTAACATCATCGTCCAATAAAGGAAAATAAACAATATGGAACGAAAAATCATCTCTTTTGTCATAAATTTTGTTGTAGAGTATCCCATGTAAAACTAAAATATCTATATCTAGGAAAGGACAGTTTTACCATTTATATTTAAAATACAGTAAGTTACTTTGAATAAATTTCGGAAGTATATTTAGAAAATTCTGGATTATCTTACAAAAATATCATCAAAATAACGGTAATTGTTGTTGAATTTATCATTTAAATTTATCAATTAAATGCAATGAAGACGGGTCTTTTCTGAGTTTCGTCCTATACTATCTTCATAACAGTACAAGAACAAGTCCGCTGTTAAAAGGGCGCAATTGGTCATAAAATTTTAATGTCGAACGTTCCATAAATGTTATCAAGGAGAAAATTAACAGCTTCATAATATTTCGAAAAATATGACTAAAAATGTGCTGTTAACTTTCCTTTGTCATCAATATTATCTTACCATGCACTGTATGTTTAATATTGTGTTTTTTTCGTGACTTTTGTATGTGTTTATTTATTTTGTTATTCAGTCGATTTGGAAATCTTTTTATAGCTTGTGTTTATGTAGTTTACTGAATATCGACTATAGATCAAGATTGAATTGAATTGATTAATCGTACAACCGTCACGAAAATCGTACAAAGACGAATCAAGCAATCAGAAATGATAAATACAAAATAGGATACTGCAATGATGGTTGTCAACAAGGATACTATTATTATGATAACAGAGGATCTTCAGCATATATAAATTATTTCATTAGTTTAACGATATTTTTTTGGACTGTTGCAATTTTTTGTTATCAAACCAAGGCAAAGTTAGTAACTGAATTACTCGAGTTCGTGTTAATAAAAAAAAAAAAATGAACGCCACCAAAAATCCAAAATTTTCATTTATTTGCAATAAATCCTTCATGTCAAAAGTTTAAAAATTCTAAATAACTGAATGCATGGAACTTATATCCTTGATAGAAGAATTTTTCTGGGTCATGTAATTATTATGGATGTGTTATTTTTTAAAAGATGTGAATGAACAGCAGATAATTCTCTAAGTGACGTTTAGTATTTAACTTTCATAATTTAAAAGTGTTTAAAGAGGAAAGGCTTGAAACATAAAATGATTGTACGACATAAAACTGATTGTCTTCACAAATCAAACAGCAGTATGAACTAACCAAATAACATTAGTCAGATGTTGAATTTTGTCTTACATACTGGCATTATTGCTTCACTCTCCTTATTCAAGAGGTCAAACAATATCTCTGATCATATGTTTTCTTTAACAAAATAATAATCCATGTATTAGATCTAAACAAATGAAAATGTTCTAATTTAGAATTCCGTAGAAAGATCCCAAATTGATTTAATAAACATATGTGACACATTTTCTATTTATTTGAAGCGGGTGAGTAATATATCCAACATGACATTTGTATTCGTATCATCGACAAAACCTTACCGATTTAATTTATATATATTTATGGACCATTTGTTCAAAATCAGGAATTCAGTCAACGAAAATTGATATTCAGTAATGTTTAAGATAGAAGCAACATAATGTCTTATTGTTGTTAACGAAAATATTCAATATATATATAGATATAAACATGAATAAATGTAAATATATATACTCACCTTGGAACTTAAAGGGATATCGATATTAAATAACGATTTAAAATTTTATTAATAAAGTTTTAGTTCATTTGAGTGCAAACTATTTTTCCTTGCCATCATATTAAGTTTAAGAATGGTTAAAGATTTTTTATATTCGTTTCCAGTTAATTTTATTAGGAAATGTGCGGCATTCGCAAAACTTTCCGTTGTTGTTTACTACCATAATTGGTTTACACAAAAAGTATTTGGGAATCTAAAACAGGCTAGGCATATCAACGCCGTACTTTTCATTCATTCTCTAAAAGTTTAACTATTGTCCCGTAATTTGGCACTAATAATAATAGCGAACAAAATTCAAGAAAAATCTCATAGACTCGTCTATAAACATTATTATAGTTCATACGAAAAACTTCTATCAAAATCAAAATAGCCTTCTTTAAAAATATGGATAATAAAAAGTATTTTAACAGAAACATTTGAAATAACTCATGAAAAATCTCCAATGTCTACATGATCCAATTGATATTAAAATTCAGAACTATAATTTCTGCTAAAAAGAAACAGCAGTACTACCGAAAGTCAGCAATACCAGGTATGGTGTGAAATCGTTTCGCTGTAATATTGCAAAAGTCTGGACTGAGCTGCTTGACCATTGTCGCATGGACAAATGTTTGGACCAATTGATAAAACTGGTACAAACATGTGATCCAATAACAGCTCATGCCAGTACATTGCATGCATATATACTTAAATGCTTATGATTTTTATTTATTTTTTGTTTGACTGATTGAGTTGTATTGCTTTTTTTGTAACTATTATCTGCTGTACTTGATATTCTACCGTATATAACATTTTAAGATATACTTTATTCTACATCAAAATAAGAAGATATGGTATGATTTCCAATGAGACAACTCTCCACCAGAGATCAAACGAAATAGAAGTTTACAACCATAAGTCACCGTACGGCCTTCAACAATAAACAAAAACCATTACCGCATAGACACTCATAAAACGGCACCGAAATGACAAATGTAAAACAATTGAAACAAGAAAACTAACGGCCTCATGTATGTACAAAACCAGTATGATATACTGCAACAAACGACAACCACTGAACCACAGGATCCTGACTTTGGACAGTCACTTACAGAATGTGGCGGGGTTAAACAATTTTGAAGGCATCAACCCTCCTCTAACATGGGACAGTGGTGTAACAGGACAACATTAGATTAAACACTAAAAATCAGTTGAAAAGGGTTTCACTCATCCTATCGATAAAAGCAGAAAAAACATTTAACAAAACACAAACCGGACGTGGCAGGGTATTTATACATCCCCACAACAAAAGAGACACTAAATACAGATCTGAGAGTACTCGCAGTTGCTTAAAGCTAGTTCAAAACCAATAACAACTAATAAAAAATCATGCATCTAAGACTAAGTAATCAATCAGTACACATCCAACCTCCAATGGATTTAGTGTAAAGACGTCGTTAACAGTCAACATGACCTAAAGCTATGCCAAGATACAGGTATCGACAGATTTTAGATCCATGAATGTGCTTATGTGTATAACGTAAAAACAAAAAAAGACAATAAGTACAGATCTGAGAGTACTTGCAGTTACTAACAGCTTTTTTAAAACCAATAACAACTAATAAAAAGTCATGCATCTCAGACTAAAATATCCAACAGTTCACATCAAACATCCAAAGTATTTGGTGTAAAAACGTCATTAACAGTCAGAGAAAAACATGTCCTTGAGCAATGCAATGATGCAGGTATCGATAAATTGTAGATCCATGCGCATATGTGTATATGAATATAATATTTAGTTTGATTTTAATTCACTGATAACAAAATCAATATTCATATAAATAAGAATATCCATCCAAGTCACAATATGTAAAAAGTAAACAATTATAGGTCAAAGTACGGCTTTCAACACGGAGCCTTGGCTTCCAACGAACAGCAAGCTATAGAGGGCCCCAAAATGACTAGTGTAAAACAATTCAAACAGGAACCACACGAACAAATGACAACTACTGAACAACAGGCTCCTAACTTAGGACAGGTGCATAAAAATGCAGCAGGTTTCAACGTTTAATTAGGCGCCAACCTTCACCCTAACCTGAAACAGTGGTGTAACATTACAATATAAAAAAACACAAAATAAAATATCAATTGAAATGACTTAACTCGATCATAAAGACATACACAAAAACAAGTAGATATACACTGAACGAATAAGTTTTCTATGACACAATATAAATAAAAAAAGATGTATCAATGTCAAAAAGACAACTTTAACCTAGGACAACATGGCGTTAAATAAAGTAAAGTACAAAGGTAAAATTAAAAAATAATAATTTTGTTGTTAGGAGTACAGGAACATTTTTTACAAAATAAATTTGTTGTTCATAGGACGAGTACAGAAGTGAAAATTTAACGTCATACTAAAAGGTGGTACATATTAAAAATAGTAAGACGAGATATAACACAACATAAGTAAACATTGAATAACAGAAATGTATTACAAATTGTGTCAACAGGTCAAATTAACACGAACGTGAGATTTGAGAGTACTCGCAGTTACTGAAAGCTAGCTAAAAGCCAAAAACAATTAATGATAAAAATAATGCATCAGAGACTAAAATCAATTAAAACATATCCCATGCAGGGATTTAGTGTTGTAACGCCATGGACAGTCAAAGAAGAAATGACTAATGCAATGCCAAAATAAAAGTAACGACAGGCAGTAGGATAGTTAAAATTTAACCTTATAATAAATATGTATGATGCTATATATAGATAAAACAATTTCTAAATAGAAAATAAACGTGGATGTGTATATATACATTCCAAAAAAAAAACAATCGAAAAGAATACACATTTAGTTATGTTTTAATTTGTTGATGACAAAGTCGATGTTATACCAATAAAAACAATATTCAAAGATCTAATTTCGGCGTTGAATTGGTAACCTTTTAGAAAAATTATATCTAAAGTTTACTAGGATCATATCTACATTCCCGGGCTCAGTAAACAACATATTTGTAAACATAAGAAAAAGGTTTTTCAACAGGTACAGCTAAATTTCAGAACCAAATCTTTGTATCTATGGAAGAATTTAATAAAGGTTTTAAGTCTCAGACTTAATAACTTACCAGTTATACATACATGTATATTAAGTTCATTGAAATCTAAAACGTCACAATAAACACGGGCATAGTGAACCAGCTGTGATATATAAACACCATAAAAGGGTGCCAAAGGAACATCACCGTCCAAAAAAAGAAAAAGTAACAATAGGGAACGAAAAATCGTCTCTTTTGTCGAAAAGTTTTGTGTAGAGTTTTCCGTCTTAAAATGAAATATCTAAATCTTGGAAAGGACAGTTATTACCGTTTATATTTGATTTGTTTAAGTACGTTCCTTTTTGTTAATTTCGGCAATACATTTAGAAAATTACTGACTATTTAACAAAACATATCATCAAGATAACAGTAAGTGTTGTTTAAGTTATCGGTTAAATCCAATTTAGACGGGTCTTTACTGAGTTTGGTCATAAAGTGTGATTCATAACAGTACAAGAAAAAGTCTGCTATGAAAGGGGTGCAATTAGTGCCCATAAGAATACCTACAACCTGTAGATGAACTTTATTGCCGAAACGTACATAAATGTTATCGAGGAGAAAATTAACAGCTTCAAAAATGTTCGACAAATATGACTGAAACTGTGCTTTTAACTATCATTTGTCATCAGTATTATCTTACCATGCACTGTCTTTTAATATTGGGTTTGTTTTCATGACATTTGTATATGTGGGTTTATGTTGTAGTTTACTGAATATCGACTTTAGATAAAACTTGAATTGAATTGATGAATCGTACAATCGTCACGCAAAATCGTACGAAGATGAATCGAGCAATCAGAAAAATAGGATATTGCAATGATGGTTGTCAATAAGGGTACTATCATAATGATAACAGAGAATCTTCAGTGATATATAAAATGTTTAACCATATTTTTTGGACTGTAGCATGTTTTTGTTATCAAAATAAGGCAAAGTTAGAAACTGAAAACTCGAATTCGTGTCAATAAACCAGAAAATCAACGCCAACAAAATTCCAAGATGTTCATTTGTTTGGAATAAATCCTTCATGTCAAAAGTTTGAAAATTCTGAATATTTGAATGCATGGAATTTATATCCTTGATAGAAGAAGTTTTCTGGTGTCATGCGCTTATAACAAATGTGTTATACTTAAAATGTGAATGAATTGCAGATAATTCTCTCAGTGAGTTGTAGTATTTTACTTTCATAAGTTAAAATGTTTAAAAAGGAGAAAGACTTGAAACAGAAAATGAATGTGCGACATTAAACTTTGAAATACACTGAACAAAAGAGAATATATGATGAAGCCACATTCTGGGCATTTAAATTAAAAAATCAAACAGCATTATGAATCGTCAGATGTTGAATTTGTCTTACACACTGGCATTATGGCTTTACTCTTCTTATATTTAGTGCCAACAAAACTTCCAAATTAACCTAATTTGAGACCTTGTCAATGAGCAAAAACTTTACCCAAGAAAGATAATTTACTTCCAAATGTTTTTTTACATAAATGTTAATGTGTTTAAAATATATTTTAAGGGGTAAAACTGCTGCTCTTGCATATCCTAAACATAAACTATGCGTGAAATAGCCATTGAACGTCAAAAACGATAATTCGACATGTTTAGGATGTCATAGTGACTTCACGTGTGACAATCCTGCACAAAAGTATCTAGAATGTATTAACCTGTTCATTTTTGCAATTCAAGAGGTCAAACAATATCTCTGATCATATTTTCTTCTTGAACAAAATAATATTCCATGTATAAGATCTAACAAAATGAGAATGTTCTAATTGAGTATTCCGTAGAAAGAACCCCATTCGATTTAAAACACATATGTGACACACTTGTAATGTATTTGAATCGAGTGAGTAATATTTCCAACATTTCATTTGCATTCGTATCACCGAAAAAACCTTACCAATTTACCTTACTTATGTTTATGAACCTTCTCTGGTAAGTCAGGAATTCAGTCAACGAAAATCAACAGTCGGTTATATTTAAGATAGAAGCGACATAATGTCTTATTGTTGTTAACGAAAATGTTCAATATAGATATATAAATACATGTTAATATATATGGATTTTGTTTTCCATTTTCAGCTTACTCGCCTTGGAACTTAAAGGGATATCGATCATATTGAACAAAGATTTCAAATTAAAGAAAATGAAGTTTTCGTTCATTTGAGTGCAGACTATTTTTCATCGTCAGCATATTAAGCTTAAGAATGGATAAAGCTTAAGCTACGCTTTATATTCGTTTCCGGTTAATTTTATCAGGAAATGTGCAGCATATGCAAACCTTTTCGTTGTTGTTTACTACCATAATCGGTTTACAAAAACCTAGTTGTAAATCCTACAACATAAGTTTAGTGAGAGTTTAAGCCAATATCTTAATCGGGATTAAATTGGACGTGGAGTATATGTCAATGAAAAAAAGGCTATAACGACATAAAAAAGCACAAAACACCTAGAACATTAGTATTTAACAATGAATAGGTTTCTGAACAACATGTCAAGTTTTAAGATAATTTGTAAATGAATTTAACCGAATTTTATAATCTGCAATACTAGTAACACCAAAATGACAAAATCATAAAGATATAACAGACACAAAAACATATGGTGGGGTCGAAGAACGACTGACAACGCCATGGCAAAAAAACACGAACGAGTTCTTAAGACATTAAGTAAAAAAACAATAGACTGAGCAACATGAAACCCACCAAAAACCGGGAGCAAATTCAAGTACTCCGGGAGGGTTAGCAGCTCCTTCTTCACATGTGGTCCCCGTCATGTCGTTGTGCAAGTAAAAATTCGTTTCATTTAGTGATGTAACAATCAAAGTAAAGAGGACGGAATTGTGGTTACGGTAATTTGAAAAGATACATAGTCATCTGTGATACAGATACTCCATAAAAGTCAACCGATTCGTGATGGTGGAACCTTTTGTTCAATAGCGTCCATGTGAGCAGCAATCCTCTATGTAGGAAATCATGATATGATACACATTTTTATAAAACAAAAGAGATGTTGTTTGAGTGCCAATGCGACAACTGTTCACCAGAGACAAAAAAACGAGGATGTTAACATCATAAGGTGACCGTATTTGAAAAACCCAAACCAGAAAAAAAAATTTAAAGACCCGTTAAATCTGAATAAATTAAAAAAATGAAACCGAAGAGATAGTCAATGCAAAAACAATAATCGAGAAACAAACATAGCAACGACCGCTAAAACAAGTATCCAAACTTGGGATACGGTTGTGGATGTGGCAACTCAGACATGTTTCTGCGGGCCCAATTCCTCCCCTAATTTGGGACAATGGAGTAATGCACAATATAAAAACAACAAGTATACTTCAGTTGAAAAGTGCTTGGTTCATCAGATCTGCAAGAAACGCTTAAAAATCTCACAAAAAGAGCAGAACCACAAACAATAGAGATCATTCAAGTTCAGTCGTTTGGTTAGTTTTCAGACTAAACCATGGCCACTAGTGTAAATTCAGTACTGTTCAGACATTTCGCTAGCAGCTAATTCAGTACTGCTTAGAAGCTTTTCAGACAACTCACTATGATACTGATGTGTTCAGGTAAATGGCTACTACAGAACAGTCTGAACATAGACTGAACAGATCTTAATTGATTGCTAGCGTATTGTCTCAACAGTATTGCATTTACCACAGACAATTAGTCTGAAAATTGACAGAGAGACTGGAAATGACCTAATAGTTTATGGTGTAGTCTTTTCAAAGCTGTTCATTTATTAATTATATAAACAAAAACAATATATAAATTGTCTTTCAACTAGCTGGAGTTTTCCTATAGAAATTGAAATGTCTTCAAAATGAGATGTACGAAATCAACAGTATTCATAATTTTATTCGAATAACGGTCTAGAGATTTTTTATCAGATTTTTCACGTTTACACCAATTTTTACAGTATGCAGACATAGCGTTTTTAATGACCTGATCATGTCCAATCTATAATAGATGGAGGACGATATTTAGGTCCTTTCTGAAGAAAAGTTTTGACCTCACGGTCCTTTTGACACTCCTGTAATGACATGACCATAGAGAACATATCTAAAACTAGATTTTCACAGTCTCCAGTGGAAGGAGCATTATTTTCTATATTGACGTCTGATGTTACAGACGTATAATTAAAAATCAAACTTCTGCTGTTTTTTTGTACGAATACGAAATAATAGGCGGTTCTGTATTATCAAAATATGGAGGTATTTGCTATGGATGGTAGTGTTACTGAATGTACTAGATAAGTTTATAAAATCGTATACATTATATGTATAGCAAAAGATATCTAATTATGTTTCACAAATGTTTGTTATTTGCGGTAACGAAATCCTTGACTTTGTAATAATTTACCACTTATACATTGTACATAGATAACGGTCATTTAAGTCATAAACAACATCCAGCGAGTTAGGAAGTAAAGTTACCGTGAGATGTGAGCATAGGAATATCTTCGTCCAACAAAAAACCCCAAAAAACAAGACTAACAATAACGTACAAAATATTGTCTATTTGGTCGTAAATTTTTGTATTGGGTTTTCCGTGTCAGACTTTAACCTATGGTGGAGAGCTGTGTCCTTAGCAATCGTACAACATTTTCTTATCTTTATATAGGTGTTGTCAAGAAGAAAAATTAACAGCTTAATTACTCATCACGGTTTCATTAAGTGTATCTAACATATTTACCCTTATCATTAAAGAATCGTGTTCCTTTCAGTGTCATCATTCTTGTAAATACTAAGGGACCATGACCTTTAATTTACCTTCAGTATGATCATATGTAGAAGAGTCCAATGGTGAGCACACTGGATACGTATGGCTTATACTTTTATAGCTATAACAACTTAAGATATTCCTGTACCCTTTTTGGGTTGTAGCTTTTTCTTCAAAGTATAGTGAAGTTTCCTTTTTATTATTTTTTAAAATTTTTTAGCCACTTTTGATAATCTCTTTTAAAAACACAATACGCTACATCTTTAAAGTGATCTTCAAATCAAGTATCCGGCAGACATAAGATAATATAATACAGAAAAAATATCTGGAATCGACAATGGCAGACTAAACTTTCCTTATGATGTTATCACCACAAAATTTAAAAATGTTTTTGGAAAAACACTTAAACCAAAGATAATTGTTAATTTCTGTGTCATTTGGTCTCTTGTGGAGAGTTGTCTCATTTGCAATCATACCACATCTTCTTTTTTATATATAGAAGTGGAAGGATGAAAACATGTTCCTTGCTTAATGGAGGTATTCCTCAGATTTGATTAAACCGATTTAGTGAATCCTTAGAGGAGATTTTTCTGCTGTAATCGAGGCCGTATATCATCAAAACTTAAAAAAGAAAAACATAAGTCAACATGTTGCAATAAAAAGTTGAAAGACTATTGTAACGTTTACCTTTGATCTTTAAGATCGTAACAAAATCATATGTTAAAGAGTCCATAGATGAATAAATTATGTCTCTTTGAATAATATAAATACGTTGATTTAATTTTGATGTCTTAAAGACTCGGTTAACACAGGCAATCTCCTGTAAGAATTTCGTCAAACCATTCAGATGTGTGTAAGGAAGTATCGTCATTAAAGGTGCATTAGCTGTCATATTCATGTTCACCGATTCGACTCAAAGTCTCATGTTTAATTTATAAGATATCAAAACGTCTATCCAAAGTAAAAAAAAAGTCATAAAAAACAAATTACAATGAATGGGCTCGTTAGAATGCATCAACCTTTTGTGTGTATTCTAGAATAGACGCCATCAAATTAATTCCGTAGATCATATGACCTGATGTAAACATAGGAGCAGTAGTTCGATCAGCGGTTGTCGTTGGTTGACGTCTGTCATATTTGTTTTTCGTAAATTCTTTTCTTATAAAGTAGGCCGTAAGTTTTCTCAATTGAATTGTTTCATATTTTTCATGTCGGGGCCTTTTATAGCCGACTTAACGGTATGGGCTTTTCTCATTGTTGAAGGCCGTACGGTTGCCTATAATTGCTTAGATCCACTTTATTTGAACTTTGGTGGATAGTTGTCTCGTTGGAAATCACACCAATCTCCTTTTTTTTATATAGATATAAATATAAGTAGACAGGCAAGCCGTGCAATCGTATAATGAGAATGTTTTTCTAGGTCTGTTTGATTTCATGTCATTGATTGAGAAAATCTTTCAATCATTGTTTTACAACGTATTTGAATGAATTTTTGTGGGTAGATAATGTCAACGAAAGGAACTTGCCGATGGGTGCCTTGTTTCACTTTTCAATTTCTAATAGCGAATCATTATTTAATAATTCCACTTTTATAGTTTTTTGAAACAAAGCAAAATTGTATTTTTATTTTTTTTGTCAACTTCGTAGCTAATGCCCCTTTAAGGCCAGAAACATTCGCTTTTTCAATTCCTGGTATGGTTTATTTAACCAAAAACAGCGTTTGCGACTTTCGAGCAGATAACTTAATGAACAAAACTAATTCTGTCTGCAAAGGTTGATGCCAGATATTTTATGTCTGCCAGATACTTGCTAGTGAAGATCATTACGAAATGTAGCGTACTTTTGTCTTGAAGAATTTTCAAAAGTGGCGAAAAATTATGAAAGCAAAAACCAGTACACCTTTAAATTTATCGTAGTTGATATGAAAATGAAGATTAATATGGTCTCTTTCGGTTTACTTGAAATAACTTCTGGTGTCATATCATTGTTTATTGATTCCAAAAATATATGGTGTCTGTGCATCGTCACTTCTATTGTGAAAAGTTAATTATAGGAAGGCATCAATCATAATCTGATTTAAACATGTTAAACTAAAGTTTCTCTGAGTCTGACATTGTGAAGATTCTTGACTATTGATTTATAAAATATTTGTTACATTTGGAGGACGTGATTAAAACGACAACAACAATCGACTTCCCTATGGACCAACTATGCTCCTCCATTTGCCGAACTGTAACCTTATTAATACGAGGCGTTTATATTAACGAATGAGAAAAGCTTGTTTTATCCTTTTACAAACAATTACGTTATAAAGATGGTGTTATATCCCATCTTTCTTAAAATATAGGATACCAGAGGTACAGTTTAGTCGGCCTCATATCTTGACTTACACGAGGAGTTGTCAATGAACGTCGGTTGAGAACAATACTTTA